TCAAAATCCGTCGAGGGAGCGTCGAGGATGCTGAAATTTTCATGCGAGTTTTTGCCACTTAAAAGGCAATATCTCTCTAATTTCGCAAGATCTTGAAAAACGAAGACAGTTTTGGAAAGCGGAAGGTTTGCGCTTTCTAACAGTATGTTTAGCTTCCTTCTACATTCTCTAGTTGAGGAGATATTTGCGTCGAGGATCTATCGAGGATGATTCTCGGCCGCTCAAAAAGCCGCTCCCTTCTTCACCATTGCAAGTGTAATTCGTTGGCAACGCTCGAAATGTGTCTAGAATACATTCTTCAACATAAGCAATAAGAAAAGGGGCAATCGTCATCATCCGATTTTGTCTGGGTATAGGCCATGCATCCGACCTTCACTCGAAGTTGCAGAATTGACAGAAGCTGCATTGTAGTAAACACATTTCGTAACTCCTACAACCTGAGAACAACTTCATTTGCCCAGGGCTTTTCCTTCACGGTTTTTGCGACAGCGTCCCTAACAACAGTGTCATTCTCGACGAGGTAATAATACCAATTGGTATGTCATTCTCAACGAAGTATATTAAGGGCGAGGGAGCGAGCAGCAGGTAAGAGGAGGTGCCTTTGCAGCACGTGGCCTCGTTCTTTGCGGAGATGCACTTTCATTCTTTGTACTGCTTTCAAATACGTCCTTCTCATGAAGGTAGAGGAATGGAGCGACTGAACCTGCAAAGAATATTTTATATCATGTTTTCTCACATATTTTGTTTTCTGCTGCGCTACACCCCTACTCCTATCTGCACCACGATACCACTGATGTTACTGACCCCAACGAGTACGACCCCCCATGACCCAGCCTGACAGGTACGACCCCCCTGTCGAGGATTTCCTCGACCGATATTCACCCTGCTTCAATTTGACATTTGTACGCGGGTGAGTATGCACGCGAGCTATTTCAGCTACGTCACATGTATGGCATGCACCGGAATCGGTGTGGGTGTCAATGTGCAATATGAACATGATATTTTCGGAACTGCTGGCAATTTCCTTGTGTTAGATGAGCTGCGTAATAGGTGGAATGTGGTTTTTGGCAATGTTCACAGATGCATTTTGGCTCCGTTATCGGGTCGATCTTTACCATTCAGTTGAAGATGACCAAGTACCACTTAGTAGACGTTGAGAAGACCACATAATGTACTCCGCTTTAGGTTTGAAGAATGATTTGACGATACATCCTTCGGATACATCTGAAGGAATCCGGTCGGCGGCGAGTTAGCCGAGAAGTGCTTTTAGTTTCGTACAAAGATGAACTATTCATCATAAAGATGAAGGGAATACGAAATGAAACCACACGAAGATGTGTGAAAGATTATGACGAAAGTGATGGCTAACCATAGGAGGAACAAGCGATATCGGAAGCGCTGGACGCTGGTGTTCTAAAACTAAGGTGAGTGGAGAGCAGCGAAGAGCTTCAGAGGAGAAGTGGGAGGCTGCTGTCAAGATGGAACTTGCTGAATTCAAGGGCGCGGCTCAAAGTTAGTCGTTTTAAAATCGCCGTAAATCAGTATAAAGAAGTATGCCCGAAACATTGGGTTGCCTCAAAAACCTAGGCACTGTACAATTTTTTAAAGTCACTTCCTCATTTCAGCACAATCAACAGTTAACAAATATATGAATCGACATTATTGCCGACTTATTGTTTTTTTTACCAGTTAACCTGTTGGCCATTTTTCGGAAGCGCTGTGCACCACCAGTCGGTCAGATGGGCAGCTGGTGTTTTAAAGAGTTTTCCAATAAGCTTGCGTTGCTTACGCTCATCAATAACAGCGCTCTAAACGCTGTACTTTGTCCTCATCGTGGATACGTTGACTTTGGTAAAGGATGCTCTGTGGATTTTGCTGTATACAGGCGAAGTTATGAGGCATAGCAGGTGCGAGTTACAGTATCAAGTTCCGATTGATGCGTCATCATAACTAGTGTGCTCTCCGTCTTAAAACTGAAAAAATGGATAAATAGAACAGATGAAGGCACTACCTAATTCTTCGGTGAAGAGCTACCCCAAAAGCCATTCCTTCAAATATCTTGAGTTGCGACGGCAAAATAATAGCAGTTTGTCATCGAGACAAGAACGGCGTGTAGAGGGGTTTTCGGTGTGCTTTGGAGAGACCCATGCTAAGTCGATTAAAGGCATACTCCGCGCTCA